TTTGTGGAATCCTGGCAAAATGTGTGTATGTGTGTATGTGTGTGTATGTATGTGTGTGTGTCCTGCTGCTATTCAATTTGATATCTAAGTGGTCAGTTCTCATTTTATGGTGGGCTACAATCTGAGTGTGATGCTTAAATGCTGATAAACTTGGTGCTTAGTAAGCAAATGGGCTTTAGAATGTTTATCCAGGCTTGGCAGTCAAAAACATCAGGGAGTCAAGCATGTGTGTAACACGCTGATGCCCATTACCTGTCAACAAGCTACTATTTGTGTGTCATAGACGTCAAGGAGAAAGGGATCCGAATAGGGCTGAGAAAGCAGAGATTCCACTAGTGTATGTAAACTCTCAGGCCTAACCTGTCCTGGCTTTTATTAAAATAATTAATAAATTCATATCTTTCTTTGAAATACCTAATACTGCATTTATTTGGGAGATAAGCAGTGTGAGTGTCAGTGGGTGTACTGTCAGATACCAATGTTGAATATGTCTAAGAGTGAAGCTTATTTTAGACCTACAGGCCTGCGGAAATCTGAAATGATCATTGGTCAGTTACGTTCCACCTCATTGTTTAGACAGTCACCTATGTCCTGCCAAGTTCTAAACACAAACAAATGAAGATATAGGCTTTCTGCTTCCTGAACAGGGGCCAAAGTTAGTTGTCAGAAGTATTTATTTATTTCTTATATTCTGCCTAATTTTATATTAATTAATGGTTATTAATTAGGAAACCATTAAAGGAATTTCATTAATAAGGAATTAAAGCTATCATATTTGGTCACCATAAAATTTGGGTTGGGGGAAATGGACTGTAAGATTGGTCTGGAATGTTAATTAGCAGGGTGATGAGACTGAAGGGAGGCTGAAATGATGAGGGTGTGGAGAGGTAGACCCAGGGTCAATCTGGATAGGGGACTAGGAATAGCCAGAAATTAAAGACATAAATGTAAAACCTAAAACCATAAAAACCCTGGAAGATAACCTAGGCAATACCATTTCGGACATAGGCATGGGGAAATATTTCATGAGAAGATGCCAAAAGCAATTGCAACAAAAGTAAAAATCAACAAATGGGATCTCATTAAACTAAAGAGCTTCTGCGTAGCAAAAGAAATTATCAACAGATACACGACTCACAGAATGTGAGAGAATTTTTGCTAACTATTCCTTTGACAAAAGTATAAGACCCAGCATCTATAAGGAACTTAAACAAATTTACAAGAAAAAAATACCACTTTAAAAAGTGGGCAAAGGACATTAACAGACACTTCTTAAAAGAGACATACATGTAGCCAACAACCATATTGAAAAACAGCTCATCATTAATCATTAGAATAATGCCAATTAAAGCCACAATTAGATAGCATCTCATACCAGTCAAAATATCTATTATTAAGAAGTCAAAAATAATACATGCTGGCAAGATTGTGGAGAAAAAAGTAACACTTATATACTGTTGGTGGGAGTGCAAATTAGTTCAGCCACTGTAAAAGACAGTGTGGAGACTCCTCAAAGAACTGAAAACAAAAAATAACATCGACCCAGCAATGCTATTACTAGGTATATACTCAAAGGAATATAAATTGTTCTATTGTAAAGACACATGCATGTGTATGTTCATTGCAGTACTATTCATAATAGCAAAGACATGGAATCAACCTAAATGACCATCAATAATAGACTAGATAAAGAAAATGTGCCACATATATATCATGGAATACTATGCAGCCATAAAAAAGAACAAAATCATGTCCTTTGTAGGGACTTGAATGGAGCTTGAGACCATTATCTCTACAAAACTAATGTAGGAACAGAAAGCCAAATACTGCATGTTCTCTCTTATAACTGGGAGCTAAATGATGAGAACACATGAACACATAGAGGGGAACAACATATGCTGCGGCCTATTGGAGGGTGGAGGTTGAGATGAGAGAGACGATCAGGAAAAATAACTAATAGGTATTAGGCTTAATACTCAGGTGATGAAATAATCCTCACAGCAAATGCCCATGACACATGTTTACCTATGTAACAAGCCTGTATGTGTACCCATGAACTTAAAAGTTCTCTTTTTAAAAAAAATTTTTAAAAAAGTAAAGCCAGGAGTTGAGACAGAATGCAAGAAGAAGAAAGAGTAGAAGTCAGGAATTTATGTGGAAGAAACAATTTAGAGGTTAAAGAATCTAAAGTTATTGTAAGAAAGATAGAATTTCAGTATGATAAATTTAATTTTAGCTTTATTTGTGAATTGAAGGCAATTGTTTGCATTATTGTATTTATGATTTTTATGAGGCATTCATAACAGGCATTTTATATGTCTCTTCATTATGTGCATATTTTATTAGATAATTAGATACATTTTATATCTGTTAACAGAATTCTTTTGTTTACAAAGCCTAAAAGATAAAAGACTTTGAAGAGAAGCGTACATTTTGTCTTTTCAATTTTTCTTATAATTGTAGACCTTTATAACCCTCAGAAACCCTCCCTTTTATATAATTTATTTGGCAATTAGAGTAGAAAACATATTTTGTAAATTTTCCTTTTCTCCCAAAATTGCATGTCTCCTTAACTGCTAGTGTTTGTAAAATATTGCATACTCAGCTCTAGTGTTCTAAGAATTAAAATCAGTGGCTATGGGATAGGATTTATTTTTTGACTTAGATGCTCATGGAAGTTTTGAAAATGATTAGTATGAATGAAGAATGATAAATTGGCTTCTAAATTTGTAATAACAGATCTTATGTAAGTAGTGACTCTAAAGGTAAACAACACTTTTTTACACAACGCATGTGTTCTTATGTGTGTTTGCATGTGTATGTGTGAGAGAGAATCTGTTATTCACTTCTTTTTGTGAAAGCTAAAACAAAGTGTAAAATGCCAAAAACAATACAACACAGAAGAAATAAAACAAAAAGAAACAGCAGGAAAGCCAACTTCTAAGAGCAGAGAGAGAAAAAAAAAATCCAAGCTCTTCTAAGAGTAAACTGTGTAACATCAGGCAGTAATCCAACCTGCTTAAGACTTGTTTTCCTAACCCTTAAGTGGGGAGGGTGCTGTAAGCTATATCCATCTCTAAATTAAATGCATTCTATAAATATTGATAAAATGATTTTTATAATAAATCTAATAACTTGTGAAACATCTTCCGGAAAGAAAAAGAGTATTCATATGCAAAAGTTTCAAATACTGTTATTATTAAATATTACCTTATTTCTGGAGAATAAATGGCTGGTTTAGGAAGAAGGACTGGTTGGGGAATATATAAAGATTGTAGCACAAAAAGCTCAAAATTATATTCAGGTCTTACAAAGACCATATTTGTTAATGGTAATGTACAAACACTGAGGATGTTCAAGGACAGAGCGATTAACATAGAGGCTCAAATTAAGAGTCATTTAAAATCTTACTTAAAGGCTGGGCACAGTGACTCAAGCCTGTAATCCCAGCACTTTTGGAAACGAAGCAGGCAGACAAGGTAACATGGAGAAACCCTGTCTCCACTAAAAATACAAAAAAAAAAAAAAATTGTGACTCATACCTGTTTTCCTAGCTACTTGAGAGGCTGAGGTGGGAGGATCACCTGAGGCAGGGAGGTTGAGGCTGCAGTGAGCTGTTATTGTATCATCGCATTCCAGTCTGAGGCAGAGTGAGACCTGGTGTCAAAAATTTTTTTTTACATAATTAAAATTTTAATGTATTATAAAGAGATGTTTGATAATGTTGGATGCCAATACAGAATAGAATGTCATTTTTCTTTTAAACTCCCCAATACAATCCCATATGTTTATATAAATACATATATATGTATATGTGTATATATATGTGGATGTATAACTTTTTGGCTTGTTTTCAAGGAAACATTGATTCTAAGATTGCTTGAGATTTGTTGGGGGAGAGTTACAAAGGGCAGAATCCTTTATAAATTGCTACTTTTAAAATTTTCAGTTCTGTGCTTTGATGATTTGTAAAATTATCTTTCCTGTTCTCTCCTTCTAGCATTCCTTTCCATTTAGCAGTATATGTAATTTGTAGACATGGCTAGCCTATTAGTGTAGGTGGAGTGAACGGCTCTCAGTAGATTGCTTGTATTTCATTTCCAGCTCTACCAATTTACAGACCAAGAGACTTTGGGCAAGTAACTGAAATTCTGTTTGCCTCAGGTTTCCCATCTAAAAGAGAGAGAGAGAGAAAAAGAGAGAGAGAGAGAGGAAATCAACAGTAAGTCCCTTCTACCACATTAGGTTGCTCTGAAGATTAATATGATATATATAAAGCACCTGGCACATATTAACTGCTCAATAAAAGTCATTTGGCTTAGGTTCTGAAAAAGTCAGCAGAAAAGTATAGTAGTACCTTGCACTTTTTTAAACATTATTCATTAAAGCCCTGTAAAAATATTAGATTTCATTTTCTACTAGTCCTAAGCAAGAATTGCAGTATTTTCCTTTTGAAAACCTTAAGTCATTTATAAGTCAGTGAATGGATATTTTGGCAGTGATCATTTCAGGCATGGGTAAGTAGGACTGTGACTCTTCAATTAATATATGGGCATGAGTAGATCTTGCCCTTGCTAAGTAGTCACAATACCAAAGTTCTACCATATTTTGAATACACACAGAAGAGAATCAGATTGCTGAATTAAAAATTTATTAGAGGAAATAAGGCAGATCCGTGAAAAAAGCAAAAAGATAGATGAGGTAATGTGTGTTAATATTAGAATAAACCTATGAGTAAAATAGAAATTTAAAACTTATGGCTTTCTGAACTAGGTGAAATTAGAGCATGGTTTAGAAAGAGTAACATTGGAGAACAGGTAGCAAGTGAAGAGTCTAGGAAGAAAGAAATGTTGAAAATGTAGGTATATGTAGGAAAGGGGTCAGATGTGGATAATCACAGTGAACCCTAAAAGTTCATTCCTTTGTTGTCAGTACTGACTTAAATGTGACATAACTGTCAGAAAATGTGAATTAAAGCTATCTCTCATTTTTCCTTCCAGGGAAATCTTGAGGAGTTGGATACTTTTCATCCTCCAGTCATAAAATCATCTCGTAGGGGGAGGCTGCACATTGGTAAGTCTCACTCATTCTAATTTTTCTATTTAATGCTCATTTTAATACAGTCTTTGTCTTGGTTGTAATGTACAACTAGTGTGATTCAAAGGATGTCAACATCATTGCTCAGCTAATTATAGAATAATTATTTTTTAAAAAAATGGCCAGGCGCAGTGGCTCACATCTATAATCCCAGCACTTTGGGAGCCCGAGGTGGGCAGATCACGAAGTCGGGATATTGGGACCATCCTGGTCAACATGGTGAAACCCCGTCTCTACTAAAACTACAAAAAAATTAGCTGGGCGTGGTGGCACACACCTGTAGTCCCAGCTCCTCGGGAGGCTGAGGCAGAAGAATTGCTTGAACCCAGGAGGCAGAGATTGCAGTGAGCTGAGATCGTGCCACTGCACTACAGCCTGGGTGGCAGTGCAACACTCTGTCTCAAAAACAAAACAAAACAAAACAAATTATAATATCATGATTTTACTTTTATTTTGAATTACTCTAATAATAGGAGTGCTATTAAAACTTGTAGCTATAAAATTAAAATTACACACTAGAATGGAAAGTAGTATTTTTAATTTTAAAATTGTGTTAGTATTACTTAGAGCTAATTTTTAGAATATTATATATATTGACACCTTGGCCCACAGGCAATAGTTGAGTGAGCATCCATGAAGAGATCTGAAGTTATAATTTTAAAAAAGCTAATAAATTATACTTATTATATAAATGTTATGTCATAAAACCAAATATGTAGCTTTTATGCTTCAATGCATTGTTTCTCTTTTACCAGTAAATAGCATTAGTATTTCTTGGTATCATGTTTCTGAGCAACACTCACCCCCATTTGCCAACTCTCTCACTCACTCTCTCTGTCTCTGCTGTCTTTTACAGGTACGTGCACAGAAACATACATACATACACTTACATAACCCTTAAAATATTTATCACATCCAGGCTACTATTAGTTAATTTAACTTTCCCAATTCATGTAAACTACAGACTCAGCAGCACTTCTATGCCCTCACTTTCTGATTAGTGGGAGGTTTTGATAGAACACTTCATCAGGTAAAAATGCTCAATCTGCACTCAAGGTAATGTACATTGCTATAAAATCACATAAATTTACTGCTGTCTTTATAGATAAATAATAGTAAAAAATATAAACTGCACACAATTGAAATGTAAGAAGATATAACAAAAACAGTTATGTACAGAAATTAGTAAAAATTAAATTTTGGGAATACCAATCTTAAAAATCCTCTGATTTTTCTGATTTTTATCAACTTCCGAAAGTTCTATTGAACATGCAAAGACTATTCAAAAACACTAATTCTAAGCATTAGATTGAATATATTGCATGTTACAAGGCAGCCAGTGTGTTTTTACATTTATATATACAAATAGGCTTGTACGTGTGGCTGATGTGGAAAAAAATTCGCTGGATCAAGAGTTTAAGGAGACTTAGAAGAATCCTCAGGGATCTTATCTGAATATTCATGTTCTGGAAAGTTTAGGGAGTGAATTTCAGGGAGGTAGTTATAGAGAATCAAGAGCCAAATAATAGGGTTGAACACCTTGTATCCCACAGAATATATCCAAAGGTACCTTTGCAACCTTTTCAAGTTGCCATCTGCGGACACACACCCATTTATGATTACTGTATTGTAGAACCCCTTAGCCATAGATAAGCTTACTAATTTTTTTCTCAGTAGTGTCTTTAGTTTTGGGCTATCAGATGTTATACTGTGAGAAGAAAAGAGGAAAATTAAAGGCTATAGAAAGAAACTATTTAATCCAAGTTGTTTCTGCAGTTGTAAACCAAGAATTCTACAAAACAGTTGTTTTTCACAGTGTATCAGATAATTTCCTTTGTTGAGTATTAATCGAGATCTCACATTCCTACTCCTTCCAATAGTAGCTCACATTTAATCAACGCTTAATTCAAATCCAAAATCAGGCAGGTAGGATATTAAGTGACAAATTCAAGACATTCTAGACTAGCAAGCCTTCATTACATCTTTAATATAAAAGCATTCCTAATTCCTGATTCCATTTATTTGGGACTTCTCATTCAAAATCTAATACTGCTGAACCAGTTCAAAATCCATTTAAATGTTCTGTTATCCAGGGACCAATTCACCATTTCTTGTCTTCAAAAGAAAAATGCATACCTTTCTGAAATACAGATACATTGTATCCACATCATTCCTTTGATCTACAAATCTAGCAGACTGTATCAAAAGAATTAGGATCTGCTGGGAAAATTCTGTGTATCCTTAATGACATATCTGTATTAGGGTTCTCTAGAGGGACAGAAGTAATGGGATATATATATATATATATATATATATATATATATATATATGAGGTTATTAAGTATTAATGTACTGATCACAAGGTCCCACAACAGGCTGTCTGCAGAGTAGAGGAGGAGGAGAGCCAGTCTGAGCCTCCTAACTGAAGAACTTGGAGTCTGATATTTGAGGGCAGGAAGCCTCCAGCATGGGAGAAAGATGTAGGTTGGGAGGCTAGGCCAGTCTCACCTTTTCACATTTTTCTACCTCCTTTATATTCTCTGGCAGCTGATTAGATGGTGCTCACCAGATTAAGAGTGGGTATGCCTTCCCCAGCCCATTGACTCAAATGTTAATCTCCTTTGCAACACCTTCACAGACACAACCAGGATAAATACTTTGCATCCTTCAATCCAATAGAGTTGACACTCAGTATTAACCAACAAAGTATTGATTATGGCATTTTCACAGGTCACCCAGCTGTTAGATAATTCATTTAAATTCAACTATATTTTGGGGATCAATAATATGCACTGAGTCATACTGCATATTATTTAGCTTGTCTTAAAAAAATAATTACTACCTGGCACTATGTTCTCTATACTTGGACCCTGGAATTGGTCCATATTTTTTTTCTATAGAAAAACAAGGACAGATAGATTAATTTGTTTAGCTCCTTCATTTTGCATTGGATTTTTTTTTTTCTGAGTAGGCATTCACTTCACAAAAGTATCTGTGTTGTCTACTATCTACCAAACACTTAAATAGGGAAAAGTTAGTTTGCTACCTTCCCAGAACACAATGAAGACTTAAGCAGCTTTGTACCCAAAGTTCAAGATTGCTTGTGAATAAAATGACAAACCATAGAGTCCAAAGGTGAAGATGAAGCAGGATGTAAGTATGACAAATTGCTTGATTTGTACCTTCACTAAATAGTCCATGGGTAGTATTCAGGACACAGGACCCCATTGATCAAAACCGAGATTTTTGTCAACTGGAATTTTTCTATGGGATAGATTCTCCATGTGGACTCCAGTCTTTTTCTCGCCCATCACCAGGGCCCTGATATGTTTGACCCTTCTTGTTTCCCTGAGCCTTCCCTTCAACCAGGTATCCCTCTTAGGAGTTCACATTAGTCTAGTCACTCATTTTTATTTTCTTTTCAGTCTGTAGTTTTTGTGGTAGAACTTATCTACTCTTGTAGCTTCAAGCATCATTTCTATCTCATGACACTCTGATCAATATGTACTCCTAAGGCTTCAATTCTAAGAAACAAATCAACATATCTATTTGATAGCACATTGGCTTCTTACCTTCTAATATATGAAAATTGAATTCCAATGTTCTCCCACAATCTCCCTTTTTTTCCCCATTTCTGTAAATTAAAGGGTCATCTACCCAGTTTCCCCCGCAACAAAAACCTAGAAATATATTTGACTTCTTTCTCACCTATCTTATCAATTAACTCACAAAACCTTATCAATCCCATTGTATTAGTTCGTCTTCATGCTGCTAATAAAGACATACCTGAGACTGGGCAATTTACGAAAGAAAGAGGTTTAATAGACTTATAGTTCCACATGGCTGAGGAGGCCTCACAATCATGGCGGAAGGTAAAAAGCACTTCTCACATGGCCGCAGACAAGAGAAGAAAGCTTGTGTAGGGAAACTGGTTTTTTTAAACCATCGGATTTCATGAGACTTATTTACTATCAGGAAAACAGCACAGAAAAGACTCACCCCCATGATTAATTACCTCCCATCTCGTCCCTCCCACAACATATGGGAATTCAAGATGAAATTTGGTGGGTTGGTGGAGGTGACACAGCCAAATCATATCTTTCTGTCCCTAGTCCCTCCCCAATCTTTATCTTCTCATATTTCAAAACCAATCATGCCTTTCCAACAGTTCCCCAAAGTCTTAACTCATTTCAGTATTAACTGAAAAGTCCGCAGTCCAAAATCTCATCTGAGACAAGATAAGTCCCTTCTGCCTATGAGCCTGTGAAATCAAAGGCAAGTTAATTTCTTGCTAGATGCAATAGGAGTTCAGGCATCTGGTAAATACAGCCATTCCAAATGGGAGACATTGACCAAAACAAAGGGGCTACAGGCCCCATGCAAATCCAAAATCCAGCAGGGTAGTCAAATCTTAAAGCTCCAGAATGATTTCCTTTGACTCCATGTCTCACATCCTGGTCATGCTGATATAAAAGGTGGGTTTCCATGGTCTTGGGCAGCTCTGCCCCTGTGGTTTTGCAGGATATAGCCTCCCTCCCAGCTGCTTTCATAGGCTGGTATTGAGTGTCTGTCGCTTTTCCAAGCACACAGTGTAAGCTGTCAGTAGATATACTATTTTGGGGACTGGAGGATGGTGGCCCTCTTCTCATAGCTCCACTAGGTAGCACTCCAGTGGTTACTCTGTGTGGGTGTCTAACCTTACATTTACCTTGCACTGTCCTACCAGAGGTTCTCTATGAACATCCTGCCCCTGCAGCAAACTTCTTCCTGAACACTCAGGTGTGTCCATACATCCTCTGAAATCTAGGCAGAGGCTCCCAAATTCCAATTCTTGACTTCCGTATAGTTGCAAGCTCAACACCACATGGAAGCTGACAAGACCTGGGATTGTACCTTCTGAAGCCATGGCCTGATCTCTATGTTGGCCTCTTTCAGCCACAGCTGGAGCAGCTGGGACACAGGGCACCAAGTCCCTA